AATGTCTTTTAAAAATCAACAACAAAATAAAGTAAAAGCAGCCACCACAGACTAAACACCACACGAGGCTAATCCAAAACACACCAAGTGAAACAACAGACAGGAGGAAACCTAAGAAAGGAAAAAACTGAACATGGACTACAAAAAGACAGTTGAGCAGGAAAATACTATGAAGCAAAAAATTAAAGAAGACAGAAAAAATAAATAATCCTGGCTTATAGAAGATAGAGAGACCAAAATCAATAGTTGTAAGAGGAACGCTCGCTTGGTTGTCTCTTTTTTCTACATAGACATTTTTTTAAGCGTTATAAATGTACATATATATACACACACATGTACACGTATGCATACGTATTTATATACTTCACACTAAATACTGTATAGCGTCAATATATATATATACACATATAAATAGGATTATTAGAGATAACTGATGAGATGAGAAATGATGATGACTAGATACACCAGTTAACTGAAGTTATGTAAAAACTAACCGCAATCAGATGTTGGTTAGTGTAGAAGGCTCCAAAGAAGATAAAGGCGATGAGAAGGGATTGTTCGATGATAAATTAACTAAACCTGCTGAAAAATTAAATAGTTTATGAACAAAAGATAGAGAGATGAGGGAGCTAGCTGAGAGGGAAAGATAAAGAGAAAAGAGTTCATAATATAAAACCATCAAGAAAATCAAGCAACTTTGATGGGAAGCCAAACATAGCTTTTCAGATTGTGGGTTAGTTTTTTTTTTTTTTCTTTTCAGGATAAAGCATCTTCTAATGTTAAAGATTTTATATTCACACCCGTTCCAAATCTATTTTCGGCTTTTTTTTTTGCTTTTTATTTTCAACTTTCTTTCTTTTCCTTTTTTTCTTTTTTTTTTCAATTAATTTTTTATATTAAAAAAATAAAAATAAACAAATTTAAAAATTAAATCAAATAATAATAATAATAAAAATGTGTGAACCACCTAAATTTTTTATTTCATCGCATTTTCTTATTATTATTATAAATATTTTTGTTATAATTGGAATAAATTTGATGAAAATTATTCTTTTAAAAATTAGTAAAAACAATCACCATAGACTCAACACCACGCGAGGCTAAACCAAAACACACCAAGTGAAGCAACAGACCAAAAGAAACTCAACAAGCCAAAAAACAAAGCACGGACTACAAAAAGAAAACTATGCAGGAAAATAATATGAAGCAGAAAATTGAAGAGGACAAAAAAAAAATAGACCTAGCTTGTAGGAGATAAAGAGGCCAAAATCAATAACTGTAAGAGCGCTTGCTTGGTTGTCTCCTTTTTATGCTGAGATTTTTTTTTATAAGCATTACAAATGTACATATATACACACACACGTGCATATGTACATACGCACATATATACTTCATACCAAATACTGCATAACGTCTATATATATACACATATATATAATTATTAGAGATAACTGATGAGATGAGAAATGATGATGATTAGACACTTCAGTTAACTAAAGTTATGTAAAAACTAACTGCAGTCACATGTTGGTTAGTGCAGAAGGCTCCAAAATGCAGCAGAAGAGATAAAAAGAAGAAGAAGAAAAGATAATGGTAATGAGAAGGGATTGTTGGGTGATAAATTAACTAGACTTGTGTGAAAATTAAATACCTTAGCAACAAAAGATAGAGAGAGGCGGGAGCTAACCGAGAGGTAAAGATAAAGAGATGAGAGTTTAGAAAACAAAAGCATCAAGAAAATCAAGCCGCGTTGACAGAAAACTAAACATAGCTTAACATATAAACTAGACTTCGTATCAAACCCTAAAAGAAGGTTTGAGATTAAAAAATTTAGTCAATACTAATTAGTATAATTGGTCATTTTTTTATTTTCAAGAACAGTTAACCTGAGGATGGAGGTGAAAGTCAAAGTCTAAGCTGAACTATTACACTAAACACAGAAGTTTTTGCACACAAAGAGAATGACTCCCTCTCACGGCTTCAAAGTCTGGTTTTTGTGAATTTGCTCTCAAGTCTTTTCTCTTAGCTATTTTTTTAAAAAAAATTATTATTATAATACAAATTTTTTTCTCTCGAAGCCCAACTGGATTCCTTTTTTCTGTTGCTTGTTTGCTGTGGGTCTCAACCCACAACCCAAAATTTGAATAGCCCACTGGCCCAAACCCATATCGGAAGAAAATTCTTATTTTTTTTATTTGTTTCCCTTACTTTCCTTTTTTTTCTTTCTTCCTTCAGCCTTAGACTTGAGCCTGTAGCTCAAAACCTAGCATAAGCCTGTTGGGCCCATGTTAGCCGCTCAGATCGGACTCAGATTCGAGCCCTAAACTTGAAGAAGCAGATCTTCACTGCCGTTGTTCCAAGCTTAAATTTGTTTTGGACCTAGCTTTTCAAAATGTGGGTTGGTGTTCTTTTTTCTTTTTGGGATAAAGCATCTTTTTATGTTAATGATTTTACATTCACACTCATTCCAAATCTATTTTCGGCTCTTTTTTTTTTTTTTGCTTTTCATTTTCAACTTTGTTTTCTTTTCCTTTTTTTTTTCTATTTTTCTCTCTTTTTTAACTATATTAAAAAAAAATTAAAATAAATTTTTTTTAAAATTAAATCAAATTATAATAATAAAAGTATGTGCATCGCTTAAATTTTTTCTTTTATCGCATTTTATCACTATTATTATTATTATAAATATTTTTGTTATGACTAGAAAAAATTGGATAAAAATTTATTTTTAAAAAATCAGCAAAAAGACATAGTAAAAGCAGTTAGTACAAACTCAACACTATGCGAGGCTAAACCAAAATACACCAAGTGAAGTAAAGAAGGAAGCCCAAGAAGCTAAAAAAAACTAAACACAAGCTATAAAAAGACACTAAAGTAGGAAAATAATATGAAGTAAAAAATTTAAGAAGACAAAAAAAATGGACCTATCTTGTAGAAGATAGAGGTGCCAAAATCAATAGCTGTACGAGATGCACTCGCCTAGTTGTCTCATTCTTTTTCTACTGAGAAATTTTTTTATAAACATTACAAATATACATATATACACACGTGCAGATAAACATTAGCACATATATACTTCACACTAAATATTGCATAGCATTTATATATATACACACACATATAAGATTATTAGAAATAACTAATGAGATGAGAAATAATGACGATTAAACACATCAGTTAACTGAAATTATGTAAAAACTGACTATAGTTAAATGTTGATTAGTGTAGAAAATTTCAGAATACAACATAAGAGAGAAAAAAAAAAGAAGAAAAAGAGAAGATAATGGCGATGAGAAATGATTGTTGAGTGATAAATTAACTAGACTTGTGTGAAAATTAAATAGCTTAGCAACAAAAGATAGAGAGATGAGAGAGGGTTAGCCGAGAGGGAAAGATAAAGAGAGCAGAGTTCAAAAAACAAAAGCATCAAGAAAATCAAGTCGTGATAATAGAAATCCAAACATAATTTAACATATAAATTAGACTGTGTATTAGATCCTAAAAGAAAATATGAGATTAATAAATTTAATCAATATTAATTAGTGTAATTGGTCATTTTGCCATTTTCAGGAACAGCTAAACTGAAAATAGAAGTAAAAGTCAAAGTCTAAACTGGAACATTACACTAAACAAAGAAATTTTTGCACGCAGAGAGAATGGCTGTCTCTCACGGCTTCAAAGTCTGGTTTTTGTGAATTTGCTCTCCGAGTCTTTCTTCTTAACTGTTTTATTTCTAAAATAATTATTATACCATTATGAATTTAATATATTATTGGTGTATTATATATGGG